TCCTTTCCTATTTGAATACCCTTTATTTCTTTTTCTTGCCTGATTGCTCTGGCTAGAACTTCCAGTACTATATTGAATAGGAGTGTTGAGAGAGGGCATCCTTGTCTAGTGCCAGATTTCAAAGGGAATGCTTCCAGTTTTTGCCCATTCCGTATGATATTGGCTGTTGGTTTGTCATAAATAGCTTTTATTATTTTGAGATACGTTCCGTCAATACCGAGTTTATTGAGGGTTTTTAGCATAAAGGGCTGTTGAATTCTGTCAAAGACCTTCTCTGCAGCAATTGAGATAATCATGTGGTTTTTGTTTTTGGTTCTGTTTATGTGGTGGATTACATTTATAGACTTGTGTATGTTGAACCAGGCTTGCATCCCTGGGATGAATCCTACTTGATCATGGTGGATAAGCTTATTGATGTGCTGTTGCAATCGGCTTGCCAGTTTTTTATTGTAGATTTTTGAGTCTATGTTCATCATGGATATTGGCCTGAAGTTTTCTTTCCTTGCTGAGTCTCTGCCAGGTTTTTGTACCAGGATGATGTTGGTCTCATAAAACGATTTGGGAAGGATTCCCTCTTTTTGGATTATTTGGAATAGTTTCAGAAGGAATGGTACCAGCTCCTCTTTGTATGTCTGGTAGAATTCTGCTGTGAACCCATCTGGACCTGGGCTTTTTTTGTGTGTGGTAGGCTCTTAATTGCTGCCTCAACTTCAGACCTTGTTATTGGTCTATTCATAGTTTCGGCTTCCTCCTGGTTTAGGCTTGGGAGGATGCAAGTGTCCTGGAATTTATTCATTTCTTCCAGGTTTACTAGTTTATATGCATACAGTTTTTTGTAATAATCTCTGATGATAGTTTGCACTTCTGTGGAATCTGTGGGGTATCCCCTTTATCATTTTTTATTGCATAAATTTGATTATCCTCTCTTTTCTTTTTTATTAATCTGACTAGTGGTCTGTCTATTTTGTTAATATTTTTGAAAAACCAGCTCTTGGATTTATTGATTTTTTGAAGGGTTTTTTTTTGTGCCTCTATCTCCTTCAGTTCTGCTCTGATCTTAATTATTTATTGTCTTCTGCTAGGTTTTGCCTTTTTTTGATCTTGCTCCTCTAGCTCTTTCAATTTTGACATTAGGGTGTCAATTTTAGATGTCTCCTTGCTTCTCATGTGGGCATTTATTGCTATTTATTTCCTCTAGACACTGCTTTAAACGTGTCCCAGAGATGCTGGTATGTTGTGTCTTCATTCTTGTTGGTTTTGAAGAACATCTTTATTTCTGCCTTCATTTCATTTTTTATGTGATCAACATCCAAGAGTCAGTTGTTCAGTTTCCATGAAGTTGTGTGGTTCTGAGTTAGTTTCTGAATTCTGAGTTCTAACTTGATTGCACTGTGGTCTGAGAGACTGTTCGTTATAATTTTCATTCTTTTGCATTTGCTGAGGAGTGATTTACTTCCAATTTTGTGGTCAGTTTTAGAGTAGGTGTGATGTGGTGCTGAGAAGAATGTATATTCTGTGGATTTGGGATGGAGAGTTCTGTAAATGTCTATTAGGCTTGCTTGTTCTAGGTCTGAGTTCAAGTCCTGGTCATCCTTGTTAATTTTCTGTCTAGTTGATCTGTCTAATATTGACAATGTGGTGTTAAAGTTTCCCACTATTATTGTGTAGGAGTCTGAGTCTCTTTGTAAGTCATTAGAACTTGCCTTATGTATCTGGGTGCTCCTGTATTGGGTGTGTATATATTTAGGATCATTAGCTCTTCTTGTTGCATTGATCCTTTTACCATTATGTAATGTCCTTTTTTGTCTCTTTTGATCTTTGTTGGTTTTAAGTCTTTTTTATCAGAGATGAGAACTGCAACTCCTGCTTTTTTGCTCTCCATTTACTTGGTAAATCTTCCTCCATCTCTTTATTTTGAGCCTTTGTGTATCCTTGCCTGTGAGATGGGTTTCCTGGATACAGCACACCAATGGGTTTTGGCTTTTTACCCAATTTGCCAGTCTGTGTTTTTTGATTGGTGCATTTAGCCCATTTACATTTAGGGTTAATATTGTTATGTGTGAATTTGATCCTGCCATTTTGATGCTGGCTGGCTGTTTTGCCCATTAATTGATGGAGTTTCTTCATTATGTTGATGCTTTTTACCATTTGGTATGTTTTCGAAGTGGCTGTTACTGGTTGTTCCTTTCTATGTGTAGAGCCTCTTTCAGGAGATCTTGTAAAGCAGGCCTGGTGGTGATGAAATCTCTGAGAACTTGCTTGTTCACGGAGGATTTTATTTTTCCTTCACTTATGAAGCTTAGTTTGGCTGGATATGAAATTCTGGGTTGAAAGTTCTTTTCTTTAAGGATGTTGAATATTGACCCCCACTCTCTTCTGGCTTGTAGGGTTTCTGCCGAGAGATCTGCTGTGAGTCTGATGGGCTTCCCTTTGTGGGTGACCCAACCTTTCTCTCTGTCTGCCCTTAGCATTTTCCCCTTCATTTCAACCCTGGTGAATCTGAGGATTATGTGCCTTGGGGTTGCTCTTCTTTAGGAATATCTTTGTGCTGTTCTCTGTATTTCCTGAACTTGAATATTGGCTTGCCTTGCTAGGTTGGAGAAGTTTTCCTGGATAATATCCTGAAGAGTATTTTCTAGCTTGGATTCATTGTCTCCATCACATTCAGGTACCCCTATCAAATGTAGATTAGGTCTTTTCACATAGTCCCATATTTCTTGGAGACTTTGTTCATTCCTTTTTACCCTTTTTTCTCTAATCTTGCCTTCTCGTTTTATTTCATTGAGTTGATCTTCAACCTCTGATATCCTTTCTTTTTATTGGTCAATTTGGCTGTTGAAACTTGTGCATACTTCATGAAATTCTTGTGTTGTGTTTCTCAGCTCCATCAATTCACGTGTATTCCTCTCTAAGTTGTCTATTCTCATTAGCACTTCATCAAATCTGTTTTCAAGGTTCTTAGTTTCTTTGCATTGGGTTAGAACATGTTCTTTTAGCTCACAGAAATTTCTTATTACCCACTTTCTGCAGCCTGATTCTGTCTACTCTTCATACTCATTCTCCATTCAGCCTTGTTCCCTTACTGGTGAAGAGTTGTGATCCCTTGTAGGAGGAGAGATTTTTTTTTTAAAAGGGATTCAGTGTATACTTCTCAGTGATGGGTGCACCAAAATCTTACAAATCACTAAATAATTTATGCAACTAAATACCACCTCTTCACCAAAAAAGTATGGAAATAAAAAAATTTTTAAAAAATTAAAAAAAAAGAATTTGTATCAAAATACACAAGGAATCCTTGCCATTCAATAAAAAGAAAAGTAATCCAAGAAGAAAAAGTGGAAGAACAAGAAGAAGAAGGAGGAGGAGGAGGAGAAAGAAGGAGAGAAGGAGGAGAAGGGGAGGGAGGCGGAGGAGGGGGGTAGGGGCAGAAGGAGGGGGAGAAGTTAAGAAAAGGATTGGCTCTAGATTCTAGACCTCTAATTCTGTAGTTACTCCAGAGTTTGTCATTTTCTTTTCTAATATGTACCTTCCCAGAATCAACAACTCTGGTGTGTGATAGTGGAAAGTTTTACTTTTCTTGATCTAGCTGATACACTTTATAAATGCTATCTAAGACTTTTTCATAGCATTTTGTGACAGCTATGTTTGTTTAATAAACATTAGTACCTAACAAACTTGCAGCCAACTTGACTTTTTAAATGTTTTATAAGGTCTAATTTCAAATACAGTTCCCCTCTCCTAAACATGAAACTGGTTATTCAAACAAAATACAAAATTTTATGTTTATAAAATTTAAATTTTATCTTATAGGCTGTTGTTTGAGCATTATAGAATATCAGAATAATTATGAATGAGTTATCATATATACCTTCTAGTCTTATGCCATGAAAAAGTTTTCTAAATTTTATTTATTTTTAACTATTTATTACTTAAATAAACTTATATGTCTTTTTCTATACTTGCAAGCCTTTGTGTGTGTATGTGTTTTCAGTACATTTTTTTATGCAAATAATTTTGATCAATTTTTCTTATGTTTACTTAAGAGATTTTTTTTTTTTTTTTTTTTGAGATGGAGTCTTGCTCTGTCTCCCAGGCTGGAGTGCAGTGGCACGCCTTACTGCAAACTCTGCCTCCCAGGTTGACACAGTTTTTCTACTTTAGCCTCCTGAGTAGCTGGGATTACAGACACACCCTACCACACCTAGTTAATTTTTCTATTTTCAGTAGAGATAGGCTTTTGCGGTGTTGGCCAGCCTGGTCTTCAACTTCTGACCTCAGGTGATCCGCCTGCCTCAGTGTCCCAAAGTGCTGAGATTACAGGTGTGAGCCACTGCACCCGGCCAATTTAATACAATTTTTAGAAAAATAGAACCAAGAACAGATTTTCCTAAGCCTGCTCAGTTACTTGGAAAATGTCATTCTTAGGATTAAATAAAAGAATATTTAACACATTTTTGGAATATGGAGGCCTTTAATTAATTTAAATTATGTTGTAAGGACAACTGTTACAGACTTAATTTTGATTTTTAATTTTCAAAACGTCTTATTTGGAAATAAATTACAACAATAGAAATAGTATATATAACGCTCTATGCCCTTTAACCAGATTTACCTATTGTTAATGTGTTATGCCATTTGCTTCAATATTTATCTTCATTCACTCTCTCTGATACTGTTATCAATTTTAGTAAAACTGACATTGTTGCAATAATTTTATTTAATCTAATGTCTATATTTAAATTTTGTTAAGTGCTTCAAAAATGTTTTTTACTCATTTATTTTTTCTATTTAAGAATCTCATTTAGGATCAGATATTGCATGTAATAACTGTTATTTCTTTAACCCACCTCAATTGGGAAGGATTTTCACAGCTTTTATTATATTTTTATGATATTGACATTTTTCAAGAATTCAGTATCACTTCCTTCCTTTTAACACAACGTTTCTCATGTCAGGATGTTGACACTTCCTCATGATTAAAATCAATATATGCATTCCAGGTTGGAACAGAAGAAATGCTGTATTCCTCTGAGGACATAACTTCTGGAGGTACATGTTGGATGCCCATCTGTTTCTCAATGGTGATTATTAATTTTGATCAAAATAAGTATCATTGATGATCTCTTCCAGTTTATTACTGAATGGTTATGATTATTTTCTCTTGCAACTACAGAGTCTGTGGGAGAAACTTTAAGATTAGGCAAATGTTTTTTTGGTCCTCATCAAATTTCCTCCCTACATTTTGCCCTCATTCATAATGCTTGTTTAAAATGATCTTTACCCTGATGGCACTAAATGGTGATTTTCTGCCTCCACCTTTCCCATTATATTTTTCTATTGGCTCTAGGGATTTTACTGTAAGTGAGAACCGTCCCTTCTCCACTATTTATGTATTTATTCAAATAGTTGGTTAGTTATCTATTTGTTATTAGTACAGACTTGAATTTCTGTGTTTTCAGTGGTCTATAATTAATTTCCATCGTATTTATTTTGGTGTTTAAGTTGCCCTAGATTTAGCCAGTGGGAACTCCTTTCCACTTGTAACAGACATTCATTGTTTTTGTAGTTGTTCGTTGTTTTAGCATTTACTTATTTGAGGAATAACAGGAAGTTCCAGATTCATTTTCTTCCTACTTGTGTTCCTATGAAATACATTGGTTTTTGATCATGGTTCCTGGTTCATAACTCCCATAGTCTTTGTTTTAGTCTTTTGTTACAATGTTGGATGTGTTAGGCCTCAGAGGCAGGCTGCTATGTTTTTTCTTCTCTCCTTTTACCTGCTCTAAGGTAGGACTCGAGGTCTTAAGACCCTCTCCTGAGAGATGCAACCCTATACTGTATACCCTAGGTGAAGGAATGTTGATGGTCATGAGGCCTTTATAAAAATAAAAATTAAAAAAAGGGAACAAAGTTCAGAGAGCTTTTGGATAGCTGAACATACGAGGATTCCTGGAGGGTGGCTCACTCAGGGAGGTGATGGAAACTCCTCACCCCTTCCCCCATACCTTGCCATATTCATCTCTTCATCTGTAGCCTTTGCAATAGCTTCCATAATGGACCAGTAAATGTGTTTCCCTGAGTTTTATCAGCTCCTCCTGTAAATTGATTGAATTAATTGGCCCCAAGAGGGAGTCATGGGAATCCCAACTTGAAGCCAGGTGGTCAGAAGTTCTGGAGGCCTGCCCTTGTGACTGGCATGCGTGGGGATCAGTCTTGGGGACTGAGCCCTCAACCTGTGGGATCTGACATCATCTCTTGGTAGATAGTGTTGGAAGTGAATTTGAGGAAACTTAGCTGGTGTCCACTGCTTGGTGTTTGTGAAAAACAATCCTACATATGCAGTAACAGAAGTCTTTTTCTATGTTATTAAATAGTTCTGTTCCTCTATCTTTGTATTATTATTGTAATAAGTTTCATCTTTAAACACTGTATGCCTATAAACACAGATTTATGGTTTTTGATATATGCAATTGTCCTCTAAATCAGATAGAAAAAAATATTACAAATATTAAATTTAAAGTAATTCATATTTACCTATTTAGAAACATTTATTGGTGCTATTTCTTCATGTGGATTTAAATTATTCTTTAGTCTCTCTTTTCATAGCAGCCTAAAAGATTGCCCTTAGTATTTCTTATAGGGTAGGTCAGCTAGCAATTGCTTCTTTCAGCTTTTGTTTATCTAGGAATATCTAAATTTCTTTTTCATTTTTTGAAAGATAGTTTTGCTCTCATGTTAACTAAGTTTTGCTTGGTTGACGGTCTTTTCCTTTTCACACTTTTAGCATACAGTTCCCACTGTTCTGTGGCCTCCATGGTTTCTGGTGAGATAACAGCTATTGATCTTGTTAAGAATTCCTTGTATGTAATCAATTGCTTTTTTATTCCCCTCTTTTGAGATGATTTTTTTGCCTTTTGACAGTTTGATTATGATATGTCTAATTGTAAATTTGCTTGTGTTTTTTCTACGTAGAGTTTGTTTAGCTTCTTAGATATGTAGATTTATGTTCATTAAATTTGGGAAGTTTATGTTGTCCTTATTTCTTTAAATATTTTTTACCCTTTCTGTTGTTCTTCTCCTTCTGTGACTTCTATTATGCATATGTTGTTATGCTTGGTGATGGCCAACAGTTATCTGAGACTCTGTTTATTTTTCTTCCTTTTTTTCTTTCTGTTTCTCATATTGGATAATCTTAATTGACCTATCTTCAAGTTCACTGATTCCTTCTTTCTCCTGCTCAAATCTGTTGAGATGCTCTAGTGATTTATAAATTTTATTTATTACACCCTTTCAGAATTTCTATTTGGTTCTTTCTTCTATTATTTTCATCTATTGATACCCTACATTTAGTCACTTATTATTCTCATACTTTCATTTAGTTGTATCGTTCTTTTTTAATGTTTAAAATAGCTGATTTAAAGTCTTTTATTCCAAATCCAATATATGGTATTCTCTGGAAGGTTTCTATTGACTTTTTCTCCCCCTGCATATGGGACATATTTTCTTCTTTCTTCAAACACCTTATAATTATTTGTTAATACTAGAGATTTAAAAAATACAATGTGGTAACTCTGGAAATCAGATTCTTCCCTCCTCCTCAAAATTTGTTCTTGTGATTGGTTGCTGTTCTTGTTGTTGTTACTGTTGTTTCTGTTTGTTGTTTACTGACTTATCTGAACTAATTCTGTAAAGTTTATATTCCTTGTGTATGGACACAATTCTCTGTTCAATTAGCTTAGTAGTCAGTTAGCAGTTAGACAGAGATTTCATTAGTTGCCTGGAACCAATGTATCTTTCAGTCTTTGCTGAAGGGGTTCTTTTCTTGGGTTGAAGCATATGTTGAACTCTCAGCCAGATAGTTTAAAACTCTTCCTTAGCGCTCACTTTTTGCTTACAGAGAAACTCGTGGTTAGACAGCAGCTATAGCTTAGGACCCTCTCAGTTCTTTCCCAAGTCTATGTACAGTTCTGAGCATATTCACAGCTCTATATATTCATATAGCCTTCTAGATTCCCAAGGATGTGTTAGAGTTTATCAAAGACCATTTTTGACATCTCATTTCCAAGATTTTTCTTTTAATCTTTTTGTTAGTCTGTGGTTTGCTGCATCTTATTCACCACCTAAGATGTCACAACATTCAATTGTCTTTGTTTTTAGAAAATTCTCCTGGCAAAAAGGCTGGTCAAGTGAGGTCAAATTAAGACAACTTTGTGAGGGGGTTCTTCTAGGGAACCATCAGAGATGACAAATTGTAACAGTTCTTTGGGAATACAACGTTATACTGCCTCCAACTTTTTCCTTCTTCCTCCATGGACTGTACCAGACTACTGTTTTTTATTTTTACCATGATTGTGATCTATTGATATTCAAAATTACAGCAGGACTGAGGAGAGATATGAAGACAGAGAAGTTAAAATACAATAAAACTCACTTTACTTATCAATATACTGTTTTTTTCCTGGAATAAATATTCCTTGTTTATGCTGCAAGTCTCTGATTAATGTCCAGAGCTCTGAAAAAGTTGATTCCAACCATTTTTTCTTGTAGTTTTTATTGATTTTATTGAGAAGAGAAATTTTACGGGTTCTTAACTGCCACTTTTTGCTGACATCTCATTTTTTTAATAATAAAATTTGGTTTTTAGAATAGTTTTAGATTCATGGCACCATTGAACTGTAAACATAGCATTCCCATATAATTCTTGCTCCCACATGTAAACAACCTGCTCAACTGTCAGCATCTTGCATCACAGTTTTACATATATTGTAAGAGATGAACTTACACTGACATGTTATTATCACTGTACATTAGGATTCATTTGTTGGAAATTTTATAAATTTTTTGAAATGTATAACAACATGTATTCATCATTGTAGTGTAATACAGAATAATTTTACTGCCCTAAAAATCAACTGATCACTGTTTATTCATCTGTCTACTCTTCCTGACCACTGGCAACCACTAATCTTTTGTGTCTGCATAGTTTTTCCTTTTCCAGAATCACATATAGTTGGAATCATACAGTATGTAGTCTTTTAAAATTGGCTTTTAAAACCTAGGAATACGCATTTAGGTTTCCCCTGAGTCTTTTTATAGCTTGATAATTCATTTCTTTTTAGTGCTGAATAATATTCCATTGTCCAGATATACCACAGTTTATTTCATTCATCTACTAAAGGACATCTTGTTTGCTTCAATGTTTGGCAATTATGAATAAAGCTGCTATAAACAGCTATGCTTAAGCTTTGGATTCATTTGCATATATACCATGTAGCATGATTTCTAGATCATATGGTAACACTATGTTTAGTTTTGTAAAAAACAAAGTGGCTATAACATTTTGCATTCCCACCAGCAATGAAAGAGAGTTTCTGTTGTTCCACATCCTTGTCAGCATTTGGTGTTGTCCATGTTCTGGATTTTAACCATCCTAGTGGGTATGTAGTGGCATCTCATTGTTGTTATAATTTGCAATTACACAAAGACATTTGTTGAACATCTTATATGGTTACTTTCTATTTTTATATCTTCTTTGGTAAAGTGTCAATTCATTTTTTTTACCCTTGTTTTAATTGATTGTAACATTTTCTATTGAGTTTTAAGAGTACTTTGTATATTTTGATTAAAAATCTTTTATCTTATGTTTCTTTCATAAATATTTTCTCACAGTCTGTGTCTTGCCTTCTCATTCCTTTGACATTGTCTTTAACAGAGGCAAAGTTTTTAATTTGAATGGAGTTCACCATATCAATTATTATTTTTTATGTATTGTGCCTTTGATGTTGTACCTAAAAAGTCATCACCATACTGATGATCATCTAAGTTTTTTTTCTGCTTTTCTAGAAATATAACACTTTCAAAATTTTATATTTGGTTACATTTTGAACTAATTTTTGCAAAGAATGCAATATCTGGGTCTAGATCTATTTTTTTTTGCATGTGGGTGTCAGGATCATTTTTTGAAAAGACTGTCTTCTCTCCATTGTATTGCCTTTGCTTCTTTGCCAAATATTGGTTGGTGAATTTCTGAGCCCTCTATTCTATTCCATTAATTTATTTGTCTCTTCCTTTGCCAATAAAAC